TGTTTCTTAATCCAGGCTGCAACTCTGTGTCTTTTCATTGAAGAGTTTGGTCCATTTACATTTAGAGTTAATATTGATATGTTAGCATCTGTATTTGCCATTGTGTTTGTCTTTCCTTTGATTTTATTTATTCTTTTAATAACTTTTTTTTGGGGTCTTCTTTCATTGTTATCGTCCCTCTGAGGTTCTGGCTTTAGGATTCCTTGTAGTATTTTTTGGAGTGGGGGTTTAGTCGTAATGAAAATCCAGAGTTTCTGTTTGTCTGGGAAGGTCCTTATTCTTTCTTCGTAGAGGAAGGAGAACTTTCCAGGATAGAGTATTCTTGGTTGGCATCTGTTTTCTTGGAGTCTGTTGACTATGTTCCTCCACTCTCTCCTTGCCCGTAGTGTTTCTTCAGAGAAGTCTGATGTCAGCCTGATTGGTTTTCCTTTGAATGTTATCTGTTTCTTCCCTCTTGTCAGCTTCATTATTTTTTCCTTGTCCTGGATTCTTTTCTATTATGTGTCTTGCTGTATTTTTCCTTTCGTCGTGGAAGTTTGATGTTCTTCTTGCTTCTTGTATATCAATTTTCAGCTCCTTCTTCACGTTTGGGAAGTTCTCTTCAATTATCTCTTTGAATATTTTCTCTGTTCCTACTTCTCTCTCCTCTCCTTCTGGAATTCCTATAACTCTTATATTTCCTTTCTTCATGGAGTCAGATAGTTCCCGAAGTCTTTCTTCGGTCTTTTTCCTTAGTACTTCTCTTTCCTTTTCTGTTTTGGTTCTTATTTCTGTGTCTTCAAGAGTACTTATTCGTTCTTCCATTTCATCTATTCTGCTTTCATTGCTTTTCCCAGAGTTCTTTAGTTCCTCCATTGATTCTTTGATCTCCTGCTTTTCTTTTGCTTCCCCCTTTAGGGACTCAATTTCATTCTTCTGATCGTTGATTATTTTTCTCATATCATTGTTTTCCTTTATGAGTTCTGTCACTTTTTTAATCATGGCAATTTTAAATTATCTTTCTGGAAGGCTCAGAAGTTCTTCCAAGTTACTGTCGTTGCAATCTGGGGGGTGGTTTTCTTTTTGTTGTGTGCTTTTTTTTCCTGAGGAGTTGTTAGGTTGCGTGTGGTTCTTCTACTCCCTACTGTCTGTTTTCTAATTTGTCGTATGCATTGGGACACTGTGTTGCTGGGACTGGCCGGCATCTTGGGTGAACTTCTCCACTCCCTTCTGGCTCCTCCAGGAGCCATCTCTGGCTTCTGAGGGAGCTTTCTGCTGGTTTCAGGCAGTCTTTACTGAAGAAATGTCCCTGTTCTAAAATGGCGATGTGGGACACAGTCCTTGCACATCCGGTCTCAGGCACACTCTTCTGCATGCCCGGTCTGCCCCGGCCGTGGGTGCCCGCTCCCCCTGTGGGCTCAGACTGTTGTCGGAAGGGGCCTGGTGTGGGCTAACTTCCCAGCTGGCCACTGGCTCCTCTGGGAGCCTTCTGCCCTTTTCAAGCAGTCTTATTCTGAAGAAATTTCCCTGTTCTATGGGGTGTTAGTGACTTTTTTTTCTAGCCGCTAGGTGGCGCCAGAGATCTCTCCTATTGTCCTTGGGGGGCTGTTTTTTCCCCCGTGGGACAGGGAACAGAGCGGGAATGGTAGGGTAAACCTCAACGGCTTTGGGGTGCTGTGTCTGCCTTGTGCCCCACCGTCATGAAGAACCCACGCCCCGAATTTCATGCCCTGGGTCTCAGTTCCAAAGCCCTCAGGTCCAGGACGTGGGCTGTAGTCCAGTTCAGTGACCGCAGGAATGGCACCTTTTGTACCCTGCTCCCGTGCCTGGGCGCCTGGTTCCTGCTTACTCAGTGAGGGACTTTCACCTCAGTGAGGGCCTCCGTGCGTCTCCCTGGAAGCCTAGGTCACAGGTGCTGGGACCTGAGCAGCTGCAATCCGCGTTTGCTTTTCAAGTGCGTGGCTTTTCCGCACAAGCTTACCAGCCGGCCCGGGGCTGTGTGCAGGTCTCCAGAGTCTCTGTTGTTCTCTAATGGCGCCTGGACCCGTTCGCTCACTGCCATGGCGAATCCTGCAGGGTTCTCCACAGCTCCAGTTACGGGGTGTGGTGGCTGAAATAGTTCCTTTCCACTCCCAGTCCAGCTTGATGTGTAGTTTGTTCTTGTTGGTCGTTTTAGTTTGTTTTTTGCCTCCTTTCTGTTGTTCGGAGAGTGCCGACTTTGTGGGTGGGGGAGGGTAGCAGGGTTCTGAGCTTTCCTCCCTTCTAGTCCTCTTTTATGGCAACTTTCTTCTTCGGGTAGTTTGCTGGAGTCGTCCGTTTATCTTCCGTGTCCCAGTTCTCACTGGGACCTGCCGCTTTTCCTCCCTATTAACTTTTTTTTAATGGGAGATCTTACTCGCAGCTTCTCCTCGCCGCCATGTTGCTTCCCCAACTTGTTTTTGTTAACTCTGTTGGGGCTAGGCCAGACCCAGGCAGCAAAAGTTGTAATAAACCATTTGTGCACAAGTTCAACTTAAGTTACATTTTAGTCTCTAGACTTTTTTCCCTAAGGCTATGTCTTCATCATATTCTCTTGCATAAGAGTACCTTATACAACTGCTCTGATTGGGAATTTCACTAGTTTTGCAAAGGGAGCAGATGTATTGCAAATGTCCAAATAAAATGTGGTTTTGTCATTTTAGAATTCTTTCTCTCACAGTGGAAATTTGAGAATGAGAACAGGGATTATAAACTTGGAGTTTAAAGAAAAAGTACAAACACAAGAGCTAGAAAGTAATACATTATCGTAAAATGTCTCAATAGCCATAATCTAGACACATTATTGAATTAATTTCTAGCTTAGATTTAACATCCATTAAAGATCCATACTCTATATTGAATCATAACACTGCTACTTCTACTTGAATATATTAATAATTTCACTTTTTTTCTTGATTTTTATGCCTTTTAGAATCCCTAATACTGGTTTTAGTAGGTGCTGAGATTTCTAAACAATGTGGATTTAAGTTAATTTAATCATCTATTGTTGCATTGACTTTAAGATAGAAATTGCCATGCAAAGAAACATCTGTCATGTAACATTCTGGAAAATAAAGGAAACATTTTGGATTCTTGCTAACTGAACAATACATGTGGTGTATACAATAAAAGTTGTTCATTTTGGTATAATGTTTACTATATAACATGTTGAGTTTACCATTGTCTGTGTTTTGCTAATTAAGTCATGTTGCTTTCTGCAAATATCGGAACTTAATTGTACAAGTGTCTGCATAAAAATACTTTTAGGAAAAAACAATTTTTGATAAGCTAATACTTAGTTATTTTTTATCTCATTGAAGTTATTGTGATTCTCATCCTAGTTCATTCATGTCAAGGAATTGTAAGAATTAAAGATATTATCTAAGAGAATACTTTAAGCTCTTTCTCAAAAGAATTATCAACAGTTAGCATGTTTATGAGGGCAGGGCCCAGGTCTGCTTCACATTGTAGCCCTTAGGACCTAACATAGTACCTGGCACATAAAGAGGATCAAGAAACATTTATTGGTGTTCTTAGTACCTGTTGGTATTGGAAAATGCAAAATATACTGACCACATATTGATTCTCTTATATCATAGGCTTCAATTTAACTTAGCTACTCTTTTTAAACCTCTAATTTTTTTATACAATTACTATACTTAAATTTTTTATAATTTGTGGTTAAATTTTTATACATTCCTTGAAAGTTTTTCAAATTCACATTTTGCCCATTAAAAAATAATATTTTGTATTTACTTTGAATTTTAAAGTTGCAGAAACTTTCACATATACTTCAAAGAATGTTACCTCATCCCACAACCTTCCATGTAGAAGTAGCAGAGATAAATTCATGCTTAACAGATGAATAATTTAGAAAACTCCCAGTCTCATTGAAAATATTTTGAGAAAAAACAGGATTATCAAAGTTAGATTTTATAAGATTATTCCTTTTTAAAAAATAGCAGTAAAAGAGAAAATTCTGTTTTCTTCTTTGATTATCACTGATAGCTATTTTTTCACTTGCCAAACCATATAGCTAAATTAAACAACTTAATGGAAATAAATGCTAAACCTGGAATCTGGCCCTACCTTAGCTACTACTTTTGTTATGTGGTTATTAGCAGCCACTCAGCTTCTCTGAAAATATGTCCATGTTCATAGTCAGTTAAATAAGCTGTATCACTTTGCAGCCCTCAAATGGCATAGTGTATGCTACCAAGTGCTATGCGTAGTATAAAGTGCTAGATCAGAGTTTCTAATCTCTTGATACCTTAGACCTCTTTGGTCACCTGAGGGAGGTTACGAAACTCTTGGAATAATGTTTCTAAATGCATAAGCATAAAAATACTTAGAATTGCAACAAAGTGCAATCATACTGAAATGCACTTATTAAATTTTAAGTAGTATAGTAATATATGGTTCCCTGTTAATACACTAAATAGAATGTTACTGCTGTGGGTTTAATGACTACAGTAATTTTGTAGTGATGACTGTAAATGTTTGGCGATACCTTTAGCAACTGTAATGTAATTTCTGTTGGCAACAAAAAGCACCAATATTGTTAATAGCATTACTGTTTGTTGCTGTTGTACTTCATTTAGAGGTTAGTGAAAATAAAGTACTCTTTCTCATTCAAGTTTACAGGTTCTTTCTTATTCAAGTTTGCAGACTCCTTGAATTCTGTCCACCATCCCTAAGTTTAAAAATTCCTATAGTATATTAATATTAATCATCAGCATTAATAGTACATTTTAAAAGACATATCCTGTATTTTTTCAAAATGTGTCAGTTTGTAATGTTTGTTGAATTTAGTACGCTTAATTTTTGAAATTAAAGTTTAAGACATAGTATAAAAATAGTTCATGGCATTGCCAAAGAATCTTAAGGTCTGGTACACATCTTTCCGGAGATGTACAACTTAAGTAACTGATTTTGTCATAAATGATCATTTCTAGAGCTGTTATTTAAAAGGAATTAAACTTGTTTTTTAAAATTATTACCAGGATCAGCCAAGATCTTGCACTCATTGCTCGGGAAATCAACGATGTAGCAGGAGAGATAGATTCAGTGACTTCATCAGGCACTGCCCCTAGTACCACAGTAAGCACTGCTGCCACCACCCCTGGCTCTGCCATAGACACTAGAGAAGAGGTAGGAGATCTTCATGGAGAAATGCATAAGGTTCTTTCTTTTCTTTATTTCTTTTGCTTTTAGCTTTTTGCTTAGTTTATTTTAGTTTCTTCACCCTCCCTGTTTGCATGAAGCTTTGCATTTTCCAACTTTGCTTTAACAAATTTCTTTTATGTTTTTATAACAAAAGTAATAAAGGCTATAACTCTTGGTCTACTATTAACACACAGCTATAAAAGTATTCAGAATAAGTACTTTGATAATTATTGGTTGATAGTTTTACTTAAAATGTAAATTGAAATAATATCTGAAAAGCAAACTGCAATTTGGTAAATTAATATACAAAGTTTCAAAAACGTTTGGCTATGAAAACAACTGCAATTAAAGAATATTTTCATAGCTAGCTGACTAGAGATTATCTCTAGTAGCAAAGAAAAAAAGTACATAGTTTTCACTACTTTCTATAATTTTGTTAATGAATATACAAAATATATTTATATGCCAGGATACAGTATTTTGAAAATTGAAATACACACACACAAATACATATATATGCCATTTTAGTATTTTCTTGTAAACTCTGGAATGCAAGTTAGCGTACATAGACTGTTACCCTTCTACCTCTAGAGGGCACCATTTGCATAGCATTGTTTGAGTGGGTTCCTTTAACATGTAGGATTAGTGGTAGGTACTCTGTTCCTTCTCTGTCAATTCAGAAATGCAAGCAAAAAAATTGATATTTGAAATAATGAATTAAAGTTTTATTAATACAGGGCATCCCCTGGTGGCGCAGCGGTTGAGCGCTGGGCTGCGAGGCTGCCCACAGCCTCTGCAGCGCTGGTTTGTTCCCCAGCCACTGGTGAGGGTCCCACCAAAAAAAAAAAAAAAAAAGAAAAGTTTTATTACTACAAAGCCACACTCTTAATTATTGTCTGTCTGCTTTGTTCTACAGTGTCAGAATTGAGTAGTTGGAGGGAGACTGTAGTTACAAAGTCTAAAATATTTATTATCTTGCCCTTTGCAGAAAAAATATTTGCCAGCCTTTAGTATTGATAATTCCACTACTTTAATTTTACAAAATAATGCTTTCAATAGTAGCCAAAAATGACTAGCCTTTTTAGTAAATTTAATTCTAATACTGTGCTAATAATATATTTTCTTTGGTTGCTTTTTGCCACATTCCTTTATTACCAAGTTTTTTAATGGTCATTTTTTGCTTGTTGATTTCCCCTTCATGTATTGTGTAATTTGAGAAATGGTTTCATCATTCTATGTAGAATTTTGTTATCACATAGATCAATTGTAAATGTATATAAAATCATCCTTATTGGTGAAAAACAAAAGGATCTCCTTGGTGTCAAGACACACACAATTCTAGTACATTTAAAATAAAGAGGTTATTATTTTCTCTGCTCTCAACTTTTACCTAACATGATCATATACTCACCTAAGATCCAATAAATTATTCAAGAGTTTCATTGAATAGACTTTCATTTTTCCTTTTTGTTTTACTTCTGAATCTTGTACTAGAGCTTGTTCTTCAGTAAACCTGAGTTACTTTGTATTGTGTGTGTATACTTTGCACTATAGATGGCAGTATTATCACTTTTACTGGAATATGTCATTTCTGTAGCATTGTTAAAATGTAACTGATTAACACCAAAATGTTTATTTTGTGGATTTAAAATTGTTTTCCTTTTGTAAACTTAATTGGAGTTTGCAATTTATCTATCTGAAGAAATTTGGCACCTGGATTTGGGGAGGAAAAAACAAGATAGGAAACTAAACGAAAAAGAAACATTATTTTACACTGGTAAGGCGATGTGAGTAAAATGAGCTCCTTGTCCATCTACATGGCTCAGCTTTTTCTATTTACCATCTGTTTTCCATTTGGGGGAAATCTTATCCATGGAAGAATTGAATTTAACAGTTATATATTTTGGATTTTGAAAATAAAATCTATACAGATGAACATCTTCTATAAAAAGACACCTTTGATGTGTTTATAAAAAGAGTAATTGGTTTATTGAAGATACCATGCTTTTATTCCTGAGAATGGAATGACATCTGTCTAATCATAAAAATAAAAATTACAATGCCACTGTCTATACTTTTACAAATTATTCTCATAAGGATTTGCTTCTGTCTTATGTAGTTGGTTGATCGTGTTTTTGATGAAAGCCTCAACTTCCGAAAGATCCCTCCATTAGTTCATTCTAAAACACCAGAAGGAAACAACTGTCACTCTAATGATTTAAGGCCTCAATCAACAGAGCCTCCTGATCACTTAACAATTACAAGACGGAGAACATGGAGCAGGGATGAAGTAAGTAAACTTATAAAACTTCATGAATGGCAGATATGACCTGTCCCATCAGTGGGAAAAAGAGAAACTTTTCAGCAAATAGGACTCGGAAGAAAAGCTTGTCCTCATGGGTACAATGAAATTGCATCCTGACATCACATTGTAAACAAATTATTCCGTTTGAATTAAGTTCCTAAAGGATGAAAGCAAAATTTTAAAACTTTCAGTAAAAAATATAGGTAATGATTTAAACGAAGTAGGAAGAGTTTTTCAAAAGAGAAAACAAAAAAGACACCTGAAGTTTTCACTTTAAAACAAAAGATTTTTACATTTGACTAATTAAAAGACTTGCAAAACATGCCACCTGCAAAGAATAAGTATAGAGAATAAAGAACGTATATCAATAAATTAAAAAGGCAAAACAACTCAATAGAAAAATGCAAAGACATGAACATTTCACTGAAATATTCCTGTGGCTTACAATACACAAAAAGTTGTTCCACTTCATGAGTGTTCAGAGAAATACATTTCAAGCCTTCAATGAATTATTTTATATTCATTCACTTTGCAACAAAATAAAAAATAGAAATATTAAGTATTGGAGAAGATACGAATACATAGATTTTCTTACGTACATTCACAGTAATATGCTGTGGATGTTAATGTAATACTGGCTAATTAATGCTGTAATGCTTGTGGATGTTAAGTTAATGCAATTACTTTGGAAAACAGTTTAACATTATTTCTGAAGTTGAACATAAACATATCACATGATCTGGCAGTTTTTCTGCTAGTATATGCCCAAGGACAATCTCCCAAGACAGCATGCAAAAGAATATTTACAGTAGTAGCACTATGGGCAGTAATGAAAACTTGAAAATAATCTCTGTTTATATCAGAACAAAAGTGAATGTATAAACTGCTGTTTTCACAAATCAAACAGTTATGGAGCAATCAAAACTAAAGCAAAATGCAATATGTGTGAATTTTAACAGTATACCATTAAATGAAAAAAGTTCTCTAAGGATTATATAGTTCATTCATAAAATTTAAAAAAGGTAAATATATACACATGTATATATATATTAGTTAGTACAGGAATAGATACAATGAATGATAAAGGAAAGCAAAGCAGTGATGAATGGAATTCTGGGTATCATTACCTTGGATAGAGGGAGGCAGGAATATAGGGTAGAAGGTAACATATTACTAGATATTGATTGTGTGTCAGCTATTTCTTCCTAACAAACTACAAAACTATCAGTAGCATAGAGCATTAAGTACTTATCACACATCTGTGGTTTAACTGGCTCAGCTGGACAATTAAAAGTTACGGATTTAATCCAGGTTTTCTCTGTGTGTCCATATTACTTGGACTTGTGGGCTAAGTTGTGCTTACTTTGTCACAGTTGTCAGATAACACAAGTACCAAGAATATTTCCCATTGATGAAATAAAACCCATGGCTGAGGTCAAAGGCATGGTGTAGAGAAAATAGGGAGAATGAGTATTTTTTAACCTGTTCTGTCACAATGGTTATTATTAGGTACTAGTTTAGATTTGTAGTAGATTCATTAGTGCTTGTTATATTAATAAAGAGAAAGAAGAAAAAGTCTCAAGTTGGACCAGTGATGTATGTCATGAATCAAGAATTATGGTTAATTCTGTGAACCTGTGGACCAATTCAGATAGAAGTTATTAACTTGTTGTTAAAAAAATATTAATATAGCATTGAGAAATCAGGGAAAGATGCCTTTTGGAAAGGCTTATGGTAATGAAATCTAGATGAAGTGAGTGTGGGAAAAGTTGAAGAATATAATGAAATTCACAAAAGAAATTACTTCAAATATCATCATGGAAAGAACTAATTGAGGAATAAAATATATTATAGCTGTTGCTATAATGAGAGTTGAGGTGGTACAGGTTTAGGGGAATGGGTAGAAGGAGAATATAGAAAGGAGGATTCAGTAATAGGTTGGCATTTATGGATCAATGGATTTATGGAATGAGCTAAAAGATAGTATGTCAGTGTGTGTCTAGACACACACACAGTAGAAAAAAAATCTCCCTGATGGAAAAGGTTGTAGCTAGCTAGCTCCATAGTTACATTTGCAACATATTAGATAGTTTTACAGCACACTTTCTCTGAACTGGCTTCATATTGATTTACTGTTCTTGTATCAGAAAGGGCCCAGTCTTATCTATTTCCCATATTCATTCTGTCCTGAGGTCTGGAAAGATAAATCCTCCAAATGTAGTAAAATTATATGGGAGAAGTTTATGTTTTTAAAGAAAATGGAAATATAGAGTAATTTATTTCAAGGTTCATAACATTCTTTTAATATAAGGTATATTACAATGTTGTAAGGTATAATATATAAGGGTAGGGATGAGAGATACCCTTTTCTGTATTAGAATTTTTTTCTTAGACTATCTCAACCTTTCTCACTACTTTGTAATGAGTATGTGTAGCATTCTTCTTAACTTGGTTCATCACAGTTCACAAAATACCACTATACTTATTTAATCAGCCCTTCTTTGCCTTTATGTTGCTTTTCAATATCCTAAATAACCCTTTATTCCCCCACTAAATTAAAATCTTTGTCATTCTCAAGTTCTGGTTTCCCATGAAGCCTTCCTTATTTATGCCACCCCTCATTGAACTCCCTTTCATTAGAATACATATAGTACTGAATTACAGAATTTAGTACTTACTTACCTTCTTTCTTATAAAATATTTCCTATTTATATTACTATTATCTCCCCCACTAGTCTTTGAAGCTTAACATCCAAGGCAACATCTTATTTTCTGGATTTTCTTATAGAGTTCAATACAGTTCTGACAATATAAGGAGCTGATTTTGGAACCCACATCTAGTCCCAACTTCAGTCCTTCTTCTAGCGTTCTACACTAGCTATGCCTTTCATGATTTAGTCCTTGGCAAACTTCAGCTAACAGGCTAAATCCAGCCTGCCACCTGTTTTTGTAAGTAAAGTTTTTTTACAACACAACCATGTCTACCAGTTTGCATACTATCAATATCTGCTTTTGCTATGATGTGAGAGTTGAGTGGTTGTGACAGAAGCCACAGGGACTAAATTCTTTACTCTGACCCTTTATAGATGTTTTCCACCCCCCAGTTTTGTCTATGAGTTTCAACTGGAGTGATCCTAACCCTCATCATAAAAACTTACGATATTAATTTTTAAAATGTATGTCTCCCATTAAGACTCCAAAATAGAGGTTGGGTTGTAATTATTTTTGCCTCCCATATTTATATTATTTAATGAAAGAATACATGATAAGCTTAGTATTCTAAATCACTTTCTCCCTTTTATGATAATTTGAAATGGAGGTATGAAAGACAGTATCATGATAGTAATTGAAGATAAGATAATATGGATTGTTTTTGAAAAAAGTGATATAACCAAAATAATATAGAAACTTGGGAAGTTTTTAAACAAAAAGTAATTCCTGGGCCTCCCTGGTGGCACAGGGGTTAAAGTCTCATCATTATCAAGCTATAACCGGGCACTGCAGCATGAGTTTGATCCTCGACCAGGGAGCTACCCACATGGCACAGCAGACCTCTTCTCTCTCACCAGCTGCTCTCCTCAGCAGTGTATTTCAGTAGATCTGCCTTTTCTGTTCCCCGCTCTGTCTCTGTTGACTCCTCTCACCCCCACACCTCTGGCCTACACCCCAGTTCTTATATGCATAAATAAATCAATCTTAAAAAAAAACAAAAAGTAATTCCTTTGTTGATGTTTATTTCTCTTAATTTAGTTGCATAACACATTATATTCTTCATTGATTTATCACTAAAATTGGCATAAATACTAAATTCCCATAAATATGGATAGTGTTTGTGGTAATACAGAGGTGATATTTTAATGTGTACTTTTTTCCCTTGGATGTTTCAGGTCATGGGAGATAATCTGCTGCTGTCATCCGTTTTTCAGTTCTCTAAGAAGATAAGACAGTCTATAGATAAAACAGCTGGAAAAATCAGGTATTATTTTGTACTCAAATTTATATTACTAGAGTCAGCTGTTCTACTGTTTTTCAAGTCTCCTACCAAAGATATTAGGAACTAGTGAAGTCAATGGTATTGAATCTTTCTGCTAACCATAGTCCTTCCTTTTTAGAAATAAGCAGTAGTCATAACTAGACTATGAAAGGGACACAAAAAGAAACAAGTGTACTAGATAATAGCCCCTTCATAAATGAGAGTTAATAACTATAATTGCATACATCAATTTTTATTAATAACTAGAAACAATTTTCTCTTAAACAAAATATTTTGAATTAACAGATTTTGGGTCTTCTTTTAAATAAGATGTCAAACTTGTTTCATCCTTCTCATCAGTAAATGGGACTGTATGTGTACCCTTGTTAGATGCAGAAAAGTTATATGAAGGAATATTAGATAGTTGAAAACTAGATTTTTACTTTCCTTTGCTATTTGTGGTAATTATAATAATCTTTTTAGTATCTTACCCCTTCAGTAACCTTTATCTTGGGTGAAATAGGGACGGTGTTATATTAAAGTTTATTTTCTTCAGTTCCCTTTCATGTATGTCCATTGTCATCTCATCCCCTAGCCCTCTCAGTTGACCCAGTTGTCTATCATGTACCTATTCTTCAGAACTTAAATTGCATGCCAGTTTCTCAAGAATGCTCTGAATTTCCTCAAGTGCCTTTGCTGCAGCCTCCCAAAGTATGCCATCCTATATTTCTCTTCTTGTATTCATCATAGTGAATTGTAATTATTATTTACTTGCCTGTCTTCTTTCCTCAATTGTGAGGGCATCAAAACAGTGCTGGACAAATAACATTTAGTCAAAAATCATTCAAATGGTGATCTAGTTGGGAGACTTTCCATATAAGGTTCTTTTAATCAGTGTTTATTTCACTTATTTATTTCTTTGTTAATAATCCTCCTTGTACACCCTAGTTTTAGAATATAATTCTAGTATAATTAAATTCAGAGTGATTTATATGTTACCTTCAATTGCATTGTGTATTTGAACCAAATTTGAGGCACAGTTCCTGGTACTAATAAGCCTGTATATGACTGAGACGGAGCAAGTTTCTTAAATCGTGTAATAACTAATAGGGTAAGCTTAAGTATTTTCTCCCCTGCAAAATCAGTTGAGTCCCCCACAAGAGGAAAGGTGGACTACATCTGTATGTGACCGCAGGTTCGATTAGGAGTTCATATAGGAGGATAGGTTGTCACGGTGAAGGAAAGCTCTCTTATTTGTGAAAGAAGATAGGACTGGCAAACTTGGGAGTGATGTGATCATGAAGGGAACATATACATGATACTTCACCTAAAATAATCACTGAGTATGATTACAATAAAATCCCAGACAGAAATTATAAAATATTATGAATAACATGCAACTAATTTAATTTCTCTAAAATCAAATGTGAACCTTAACATTTATATATTTTTTAATTGTTGTTATACTTTTTTATATTTTCTATGTAGTTAGTCGCTTTAATATGCAAACAGAAAAAGAAATGATTGTGCTTGTATGGAATAGAAATTATTAATGGCAAATTACAGAAAATATTAAAACAGATAATAAAATTAAGGCAAATCACATAGGTAGCAAAACCCACTAACTTAATTAACAGAAATAGCAAACTTAATCCAGGTTGGCTTGTTCTCAAATAAATGAGGTAAAATGTAAATTTCATGAGAGCAAGTGTCCTTGTCTAATTACAAAGTACCTAGAATTTACAATATAATGGTTTCTGAATTAGTGAACATTAGATTATTATTCTATAGGAAACCAAATATATTTAAAATTTTAAGGATATGTGAGAATTGATAAAGTGTAAAATACCTTGAAAAAAAGAGTGGATGGTAACATAATGGTAGTCACTAAAATAATTTATAAAATTATGTATATGTATAGCGCCTCCTTAAGCTAAGCATTCATTTTCTTTTTAACTGTTATGGCATGATGCCTCATATTCCAACCAAATTTGGAGGACTTACACATCACTGATACTTTTTTTGAAAAAGTAAAGATCTTATTAAGTGAAAAGACCAAGTTGTAGAGCATGTGTTATGATCTCATTTGTATAAACTTTTGAGAAATGAACCTGAAGGTGAAAAATAAATATATAATAAATGCATATACAAACACAATCATGATAGATATTAGATATGTATTTTTTAAGTAAAGTTCTGTATTTTATGTAAAATACAAATTTAAAAACTGAAAAAATAGGAACAAAGTGAACATCAAAAGTGAGCAGAGAATCTGGTACATTTTTAAGAATATAAATATACAGGATCATGGCACAAAAGAAAGTTCAAAGCACCTTTATGCAAATATACTTCAAAAATTAATATAGTATAGCTTAATTTATTTCTAATTTCTGTAATTAGGATCTTGAAACATAATAAAACCATGCCCAAATATAGTTTGTGAATTGTTATATTCTATTCAAATAGAATTGTATATGTTTATCCGAGTGAGAGCCAGTAATAGTGGCAGAAACACAGAGGACATCATTTTTATTTAATTGCAAGATAACTAATTTGAAAAATCTTTTAGATAAAATTAAAAATTGTCTCAAAAGTATCTTTTTAAAGTACTGTGTTTGAGTACTGTGTTGCTCCTTAAAAGCAACATTTAAAATTGTTTTTCAGGTTCTTTTTTCTCTGAGTAAATTTGTAAACCGTTACCTATATGGGCAAATTCTACATGGTATTAGGTGTAATGAAGTCTAAGATGATAAGGATGACACTGGAATGATAAGGAATGGTCAGCTTAGGGAGACTTTATTAAGGAGTTTGTACTTTTAATATAAAACATCATGGGAAGGTAATTCAACAGATTTGGGCCCTCTTATACCAAATTTATCTATAAAAATACCATGTAATTATATCAAACTGCCAACTGGAAAACCTTAAGGTTTCCTTACTTATAAATGGCCATCCCATGTTATTTCATCCTACTGAAATACAAGTCCTTCCCCTGTAACAGGATCCTCATTCAGTGAGTATTCTCTCTTTCTGTTGACTTTTCCTTATGAAAGAGTATGTTTCTCAATCTGCACTGAATTCATCTCTAGTTTCCTCCTAAGAAAAATATTTTTGTATCTTTAACATTTTAATTATAAGTGAGACCAAAGAACACATTGCTTGGCCTTGCTCTCAGAAAATAGTAAGTTAAATAAAAAATAAGTAAACATACCTCAGTAATTTTTGATAAGCAGAATTTTTTATAAGAGGTTAGAGGTCTGACCCTCTTATAGGATATTGCCTAGGTTGTGTGGGGAAATCTAGTCTTTAAACTCTGTGCCAGAGGTATAAATGCAAATGCCTACCCAAGGCTATGGGAATGCCTCTTGTTCAGTTACTTTCTGTGGGTTCAATAAAAAATAAACAATTACTATTTTGTGATTTTTCTCATTGTATTCCATGTCAAAGTTACCCCCTCAAATTATATAACAATAACAGGACATGGCCCTATATTGGTAGACTACTAGTTGGCAACCCCTAGTTTGTATATATTGACGAATAGTGCCAGTAGATAGATTGTTGAAAAACTTAGTTATAAGACTTTTTTTTCCTAAAACCAACTTCTTTATCAAAAAGAAATTTTAGTTTGAAAGTTAAATAATTGGGGCCTCCCCTGGAGGCGCAGCGGTTGAGCGCTGGGCTGCGAAGCTGCCCACAGCCTCTGCAGCGCTGTTTCAATCCCCGGCCGCCGGTGAGGGTCCCACATGGTGCGCAGACCTCTCCTGCCGCCCGCTGCTCCCCTCAGCAGTGTATTTCGTCAGTCTGCCTGTTCTGTTCCCCACTCTGGCGAGCCCTCTCACCCTCCCGCACTTCTGACTGTACCCAATGATTGTATAAATGAATGAATGAATGAATGAATGAATGAATGAATGAATGAATGAATGAATCTTTTTTTAAAAAGTTAAATAATTGAATGAAATTAGCTTTGGAACTTAATGTGTTCTATGGTGACATTTAGTCAAACTACTAAGTATTTTGAATCCATATATAATAAGATGATTTCTAGAAAGCTATGATTTTTTTTTTTTTCTGAAGATCTATAATGACCATAAAATGGTGTCTTACATTTACATCTCTAAAACTGATGCATTATGTCTTGCAGATTCCAAAGTTTTAGGAAGGGAAGGATACCACATTTGAAAGACAAATCTAAATTTTTTATTTCATATTTGATTTTAACTTCTAACTTAAGTATCCTTATTTTTATTGGCAATTGTTTTTATCAAAAAGATAATGCCTTTTTTCCCTTTTTTTTTTTAAGAGTTATTTATTTATGCATACAAGAGCTGGGATACAGGCCAGAGATACTGGGGGTGAAAGGATTTACCAGAGACAGAGTAGGGAACAGAACAAGCAGACTGACTGAAATACACTGCTGAGGGGAGCAGCAGGCGAGACAGGAGAGGTCTGCTGCACCATGTGGGTTGCTCCCTGGCCAGCCGGGATCGAACTTGTGCTGCAGAAGCTGCGAATTGCTTCATAGGGCAGTGCTTAACCCCTTGAGCCACCCTGGAGGCCCAAAAAGATAATGTCTTAACTCTTAATAGTCTTTTATGTACACATGAACTAACATGAATAAAGATTTTCCCAAAAAGCACACTAAGTACTCTAATTGTCAACCTTTAAAAATGATGTTCACACTTTGCTCAGTCAATAAGATGCCTTTTCTAGTATAAAGACATCTTAATGAACACAGTTGCTCATAGCTAATTTAATTTAATTCTATGTTGTGTTTAGTATGCATATATTTTATCTGAGCATAGCTGTGTTTTTGTTTTGAGTGGTGGTTTATGTGTTAAATTGCAATTATTAGATAAAATGTTGCTGTTAGATATAACACATCACCTACATTTGGTTTATATATGGTTTTCTTTTCAGTAAAGAGATATTAAAAGATTTGTGTATGTGTTCTTGCCAGTCACTTTTAAAATACAGATCTCTCATGTAAATGAGTTTATTGGAAGTAATAGGTCAGTACTGGATTTGCAGTTCATGTAAAGTTTAGTGGTTTCTTTATACTTGTATAGCTTTCAATAGATATTTTATTTTGTATTATTGTTTAAAATGTAATTGGTTTTTAAAATTTTTAAAGTGCATATATTTTTTGATATATAGAATATTATTTAAAGACAAAGATCGGAATTGGGATGAAATAGAAAGCAAGTTAAGAGCTGAAAGTGAAGTCCCTATTGTGAAAACCTCAAGCATGGTATGGTAATTTTTCTTGAATATTGAAACATTTTAATAGCAGGGTCTTATTTCAGGAGAAATATGTGTATTTTTGAACTGTTTGGTTTTTAAATATTATAAAAGAAATGCACAAATTCAGGAAATTTTATGTCTTCAGCTATCTCTTACTGAGCATTAAAAATGTTGATTGCTTCAAAGTTGCAAAGGGTTAAAGGAAAAGGAATCTTTTTATGTTTTTCACTTTTGTACATGCTTGTTTTTGTAATCGTTACCCATTATAACTTAGGGCAATCTTAAAAGGAAACGCAAATATAAGTTATTTCCATTTACTTGATAGATTCCTTGTTCACTCCTCAAAAAATTGTACCAGTTTTCATGGTTTAGGGAATTATTCTAAAACTGAAGTTGCGGTTTATATATTTTCTTGAAGACACTTTCCTTAGACACTTTCACCAAGTTGTTGCAAGTTTTATCAATGCAAGTTTTTCAGAATCTTGGCTTTTATAGTTGTATTGTTGTGAATTTTTCATCTTACCTGACTGAAGAAATAATTCTATTTTAACATTAAAGTTTCAAAATTTGAATTTTGTTTACTGGATAGGATAATTACTTTGTGTCTTATTGCTACAAAAATAGTACCTTGGAGCAATGTTAATTTCAGATAAGATGAATGTGACAGTCATTCTTATCACATAAAAATGTCTTAAAGTGAGCTAATTTTTATCATTGCTTTTCCTATAGGAGATTTCTTCTATCTTACAAGAGCTGAAAAGAGTTGAAAAGCAGCTACAAGGTAAACTGACAATGAATTAAGTATAAAGAGCTAACAGTTTAAGACAAATGATATTAGTGATATAGCTTAAAATACTATAGGATGCTATTTGGTTAAATGTAATGAAATATAGAAAAAAAAAAGTAGAGTTCTCCATAATCCAAATTACTCATAACAAGTTTTAAAACTCAGTATAAATAATTTTAAAAGATAATAAAATTAGGGGCCTCTCCAGTGGCGCAGTGGTTGAGCACTGGGTTGCGAAGCTGCCCGCAGCCTCTGCAGCGCTGGTTCAATACCCTGCTGCTGGGTGAGGGTCCCACATGGCACGCAGACCTCTCCTGCCGCCCGCTGCTCCCCTCAGCAGTGTGCTTCGTTGGTCTGCCTGCTCTGCTCCCCCCTCTGGCTCTGGTGAATTCTCTCACCTCCCCCGCACTTCTGACTGTACCCAGTGCTTGTATAAATAAATAAATAAGTATTTTAAAAAGAAAAAAAAAGATAATAAAATTAAACATCGAATATATAGTATACTATAAATTAATTTTCAATATTACATTTATCATCTTTCATATATATACAGGCTAATATATAAAAATGCATGATAATGTATTAAAATGTAGCTGAAAATGTTTGATAATCAGCAAGCATTCTTTATTTGATTTGACAATACTTAAATTATGTTTGTGGTATAACCCAAATTATATTGCATTCTAATACAGTAATAGTTGTTTGGATATACTACAATATATGAGTGCATATAGACCATAGTGACCAGAAGAGGAGGGAAAGAAGGAAAAGAAAGTGCCCTCTAAATTTAAGTGACATTGTTTGGGTTTGTGTCAAATTTTAATCATGCATTAATGCCTACGTATGTCTTGACTTAGATATCCCCAAAGATGCAATACATAGATTTGAGTCAACTGCCAATTCTACTCAGACTTCACTGCTTGATTATCATAGACATAACATGTTGGTCCTAGTTAAGTGTTTCTTGACACTATTTAGCATCAGCATTGCTAATGGTCATCATATACACCATGAGTGAAAGTGGCTTACAGTAACTGTTAGATGGTAGAATGGGGATATACTTTCAAAAGGATTTTAAATGATTCTTACATCTATGGCCCTTCTTTCTCCAACTCCCAGTTCTACCCACTGCAAAGTTAAAAATCACTGCCTAAAATTTCACTCATCTACCCAAGGAACTTTTGAGCTGCTGTGAGATATTTTCATCTAGACTGTTAGGGGATCCTTACAACTCAGTGATACTACACACTTGCACATGGCGAACACATAGCACTTTCATTCTTCTGGCCTCCTCAGCCCTCAAGTTACTCTGAATCTCATCCTAGTAAGAATCTTTAATCATCTGAGTGGAAAATATGCCTTAAAGTGTTTATTACAGTCATAACCAATATTTCACAGTACTCTCACAATAAGAACAAATTTTAAAGAGATCTTTCCTAATTTCCACGTTGCCAACTCCCAGTCCTCTAGTGGCTAAAGAATGCCCATAAGTGAGCCTACTCAAGGAATCCACGAAAGCATTCAGGTCTGATTAATCTACAATATAAACCAGCTTCAGAATTATTGAATGGGGTTTTAAATACAGCATAGAAAAGATTAGCCAAATTTAAGCTCAAGTATCAGTGGTTGAATTTCATAAACGTTTATATTCAAACTTAATTACATCTACAGTTACATCTGTATCTCCCTTTTCTTTCTTACCTTCAGCAATCAATGCTATGATTGACCCCGATGGAACCTTGGAGGCTCTGAACAACATGGGATTTCCCAGTGCCATCTTGCCATCTCCACCAAAACAGAAAACCAGTCCTGTGAATAACCACAGCAGCCCGGGTCAGACACCAACACTTTGCCAACCAGAAGCTAGGGGTCTTCATCCTGCTGCTACCTCAGCCTCAGCTGAATTTGAGAATACCGAATCTGAGGCTGATTTCAGTATACATTTTAATAGGTTCAACCCTGAAGGGGAAGAGGAAGATGTTACAGTACATGAATGACTTTCTTTTTTGATTGTTAGAAAATAATTACCTGTGGAATAACTAGGAATATTGGAAGCAGCATAGTGTTGACTTACACAAAATAAGACAGCTTGGTCAACTACAATCTTGTTATCTCTGTCATCTTAATTTATTTATTTTTTACCTATAATGTGGTGTCATACTAATCCTTTTAAGCCATTTAGATAACCACTTATTGCACATATAGGAAAAAGCATATTGTGGCAGTCACTTTTTGTGGTTTTTAGATTTTCAAATAGAAATATACGGTTACATCCTTTCCCTTCATAGATCTTCTTTTTTCTTCTTTCTTTAAGCCACGCTGTGACCTACAAGCAAACTAAATACCCAATATTTCTGACCCCCATGTCTCCTGTGCCAAGCTGCTCCCTGAAGTGGACTTCATCTGTACAGATTTGTTAAACACTTATTTGCTTCTTAACAGTAGGATTTATTACCATTGGATACAATTGCATATGACTCCCCACAGTCAAACTGACCTTTCAAAACAGTCATTCTTATGTTATAAAATTTTGCAGCACATATTTGATTTATATAACTTTGTTGCTACATAAATTAAATTGTCTTGGGATTTACAGAGATGAACTATTATGTTTGCACTAACATTTGCTGGGAGTAAGTAGGTGGACATATCTATATATGAATAAGGACTAACCATCTTTTTGTACATAGGAGATTCATAATACTGTATTTGTTTTAACTCTACAATGTCTTACTCCACTTTCAAAAAAAGATCAATTTGGCACTTTTTTCAATTTTTTTTAATGGAAGTAAGATTTTTGTCTCTCATTTTAGGATAAATGATAACTAGAATGATTAGACAGATAGTTTAGGTGGAGTATATTTTTAAACCTACAAACATGTATATTGGTCCTGTGTTACTGAGTTTATATGTGACAGTTTAAAATTTTTTTCTCTTGATATGATCATGAAGTTAAAATTTTCTTCATTAGGCAATTTGGAGAACTAGTAGTCATAAGATTAGTTGATAGTTTCACTCCCAAGCAATGAATTGCTTCTGTGTATTTCCCTGTAGGACCCAATAGTAAATCCTCTCTGTCTTTTACATTTATAAGGACCCTACAAGACTACAGTGGTTTTGGGCATACACTGCTAAACAGGAAGCCTATGAAAAAAAATCTTCTCTAAACTTGTTTTTTCTCTTTCCAATAAGTTCACATTTGGGTAAGTTTTAAAAGAAAGTAATTATCTTTGTGTTTCCAGAACACTATAATTTGGGTGACTATTAATTCAGTTAAATATTCGTAGTAGACTCAGATTTTCCCCATGACCCCATCTGTCTATAAAGGTTAAAACTGAAACTTTTGCAACTTCTATGAAACAATCTTTAATATTTCAGCAATAATCCTATACTACATTTGTTTTAAGAAACTAACTCTGCACACTTAAAAACTTTACAGGATTTTTAAAATTCTGTATGGTTGGGCCAGTTAAAAAAGATGCAAGAAAAAAAATTTTTAGAGATATAAAAACAAACGCCTGTTGTATAATGGAGCTCATATTTTTCTTTAAATTAGAAAAATGGCAAATGAACTATACTCCTTATAAAACTCAATTCCCCTTTCTATCTAATAATAAAGGAAGATTAAAAAAGGTTTTAAAAAATATGAATGGACAGATAAATGCTTTGAAGGAATAAATGAAATATTAAAACAGGGTCAATCCATTTGAAGAAAAAGTAGAACAAAATAATCACCATTGTTCCCTCTTTTACTAATGTTTGGGTACTGATTATATCCACATGGGGTAGAGAGTGAAGTTTGTTTAGGAACATGTTAGCATCTACTCTGCTTACATTATCGCTTAATTGTTTACACAGTTTTGTTTAATTATAAACATTTGGCCTTTTACTATGTTGTCTTTATTTTGTATGAATACATTATTCTCCTTATTTATTTTTGTTACATTTATTACTTATTTTGTTATGCATTTACACAACTCCATTTTTAAATAAAGTGTTTCTGGAACTTTATACAAAGATTGTACATTTTATTTCTTCTACCATCTGACTTCATTTATATAACATAACTATATACACCATTTCCTAATGCTTAGTAAAATAAGTACTCCTACAATTCTGATTAATGTGATACTTGTGAAATTTCATACTGGTTCTACTAACAAAAAATATTTTCTTTGCAAATTATAGTAAATATAATTAGCTTCATTCTCTGATATATACACACAAGGCTTTATTTTTAGATGGCCTTTTGAAACAGATTTATGTCACTGTTATATATGAGGAACAAAAAAGAAATTTAAAATATCGTGGACATTCTAAACTTGAGAACTATCAATTTATATTCGTTTTCTTCACGTATCATTCATACTCAAGAATCTTTAATATCTGCCTCTGTTACTGTTCACTATCTGTTTCTCAACTTGACCTTTGGAGGCTTTCCATTATCTAACCCTTTTATTATGTGTCTGCAAAATATAGTCTCTGTACAAGTTCCTGACAGTCTTCAGCTTCTTAACCCTCTGTGCACTTGCTGCTGCTTCCCCCTGCTTCCTGCTTATCTGCATTCCTTCCATTCTTCAGGGTTCACTAACCTCTTCATAAAGCTTCCCTTACTTAACGGGGCCACAGTAAAGAAGTATACTTTACAGCATATATTTACACTTTCCCTGCCCTCACTTCATATACACACATTTGTTCTAAATCACCAAAATAATCTATTCAAACATCTATGCCATTTTGCCTCCATCTGTCTTTGGATTTACTTGTTTTATCTCTGCCTGACAAGATCTTAACTTTTGAAAGGAAACCAGACAAGCTTAGGATTCAGATCCATTCCTCGTTAATTAAAAATGTGGTTCACCATCTGCAAAATGAGAACATCATCATTCCAAGTTTCTTCCAGTCCAAGTGATCACATAACCTCTGTGCTCATTTATAGCACAGACACTGTCCAACAAATATGTACTACATGCCTAACATATCGAGGCACTGAGGTAACTGGCAGTGAGCAGAATAAACTTGGCTTTACAGACCTTTCCTTTCTAGTGTAGAATAACGATAGAAACTAAGTTGATGTCAAATCACATTTTGCTTTACTTCCCAGTGAATTATTTACATAGCTACCTCCCTATAAACAGTTTCTTAAAAATAAGTACATGCCACTTAATAAACTTTAAGTAAATACATTTTCATTCTGGTCTCCAAGAACCTTGTGTGGTCTGACTTCCAATGTACTGTGTGCCCTTGACTCCCTTCTTTGCTGTAGTTAGACCTATAGTCTCCTGAGGCATCTGAAAGTCATTTTTATTGCACAGTTTAACACTGGGTTTTAGGTAAGGTACGAAAAGGCCTCTCCCATCCTGCGCTGCTGTCAGATGTCCGAGGGACCCCCATTATGCAGGTGAAACTTAGTAAAGGTGGAGAAATTTGCTTTATTTGGATGTTAGAATGACCAGTACAAAGAAATTACAACTGAGTATCTGAACTCCAACTCTCAATTCAAAGCCTTGGCTAATCTTCCCTTAATGCATCCTGTGTTCCCCTCTTTCCTTCAAATACAGTTTGTTAGCCTCATACCCACCCCCATTGCTTCATTTCCTGAATCTTGACAAGGAAGAGCTTCATGCTGCCCCACTCAATTTGTCTAGCATATTTTACTACCTGGAATTTAACTTTTGTTCAATATTTAATACTCTTAGAACAGTTGTACCTACTGAAATGTTTGACATTTTTAATGGATCAAAATATTATAGAAACATTTCTATAAATTTACAACTTGCTTACTACTCTAAGGCATATAACATTAAAGATGAATATTCTTTTAATTTTGAGAAAATAGTATATTAGATATAAAAATAATAGACATGTAGTTCAATTCCCTCATCCATACTTGAAGTAATTGAGGCACAAGTATAATATAGTGCTTAGTGAGAAAGTATTTCTAACCAGGTTGTACTAAACTACTGCCATTTCATAAGAGTAGAGCATTCAGGCAAATAAGAGGTTCTGGATCATTAACATTAGATTCAGGATTTAAACCCAGTTTAACTGATTAATCCTCCTTATTTTCAGTCATAAAGAGACAGCATAGTAGAAAAATCACTCAGTGGAATTGGAAAACCTGCAACATAATGTATTACTGGCTTTGGGAAAGTGATTTCAACACTAAGTTTTATCATCTGTAATGGAGGGGTAGGGGGATTGATGAATTGATTGCTAAAATATCTACCTACCATTAATTTTTATTCTCTGATGTACATATATTATACACTTGGTTCTCTTCCCCCAGATCTGTGGCAGAAACATTTTGCTATCTTTACTGTAAATCTGCCTTTCTTCCTGTCCTTAATAAATGATGAGCTAGACCCTCACTCTTTCACTCATACATTGTTATTAAATTCCTTTCCCCAGAAATCTTCCAGTTCTATCCCTTCACCATATTTTTCTCAGTGCACCTTTGCCCCCATAAACGCTACCAGTGGTTTGAATTGAAATGGGGTGTCCAATGATTGTAGCACCATTTTCCAGGTAGTGGTGTCTAGCACTTCCTAAACACTTTTTATATGGCAGCTGCTGTGTAGTCATAGCAATATTATGAGAGTTTGTTTTTCTACATCTTGCTCCCTTTGGCCAGTCCAATTCATAGTCTCTGGGATAAATACGGCAAAACTGAAAGCAAAACTTGATAATTTTCTCTAGCTTGGAGGCTTTCAAGATCAAAGAACTTATGGTAATTTATGTGATTTTTAGAGAACCAAAGCAGATTCTCTCAGGCTTTGACAAAATGCCTTAGTGTGAATTTAAAGAGAGAATTAAAAATACTAGAAAATGAGGACCCTGGGTCACTACAGAGAGGGGGAACCCTAGGAGGTGTCAACATTGCCCAGGAAAAATACAGGGCAGTGTGTCTTCTCAGATGGGACTAGAGCTACCTGGAAAGTTCCCCTTGACTTGATCTTTCCCAGAAGCAGCAGAGCCTTAGGACCAAATGATCAGACTCCCAGGACAGTAGTCCCCTCAGAGCTAACTTCTATAGACAGCAGACAAGGTGTGGAATTCTCTAGCATGCCCTGGGGATGGCGCTATCTCAGACCAGACTGAGGTCAAATTTCCTCCCCACTGCAGTGACTGGGAACTTGAAGGAAAATTAAACTAGTTAGAGAAAATGTGAAATTTCTTGCCTATCCAAGTTTATGTGTTGTAAACTGGTAACTACTAGCTAGCTATAATCCATGTCCCATCCCCCACTTCCTTTCCCACTCCCTCCCTCCATAAGTTTATATGTGTATATAAGGCTATAGATAGGATTCAGCCTTTTATGTTATTATGTTGGAACCCGTACATGTTATGTGGTGGGTAATTTTTATTGCCACATTGCAGATTTGGTTATTTATCCTTAACCAAACACACACAGCTAGCAGAAGCAAAGTCAGGGTCTGTGCCCAGACAGTTCATGTAGGACAGTCTTGGAGAATTAGTAGTAACGCCCCTCTCATTCCCTAGAGTGTCTTTATTTGGATGACAAATTAAGCGTTCAGCCAGGGTTGATGTCTGCGCTGCTCTCCATCTCGCCTGCTGCCTCATTCTCAAAAGTAAAGAATGAGTATTGAGGCGCGCAAGCGAAGGGGCCATGCACACCGTGGAGGATGTGGCCACACAAGGAGATGGTTGTTCAGCACCCCCTTCCCTCCATGGCTGAGCATGCTCAGAAAACCTGCCACAAGGGTGGTGGTGTCAGGCTCCAGGTGAGAGTTGGGAGAGGAGAGGTATGTTTAGGTTTAGTAGTACCCCAGGATCAATCTGCCTTTGCCAGGAGTGGTACAAGTTTTGTGAGCTGAGCCCTGTACTATTCAGGGAGCCATTTTAAAGACAAGGGATACAAAATCACAAATGCAAAATTTGGTACTGAATTGAATGTTTATTTAGATTGAAATAAGAGCAAAACTAATTACAAATTTCAAAAGTTGGGAGAAAAATGCCACATCATCACAAATTCAGAAAAATGGAAAAACCTCTGCAGTATTTTTTGACTGTGTCTTCAATGACCACTCCATGTGATGACAATTTTGTAGTAATACTGTCTACAGTTACTAGAAAGATATTTTAGCTTTTCCTCCATTGTGATAGACCAAGTTTACCTTTTTAATCATTGTGGTGCTCAGGAGACTTCACACATAGGTGAACTTACTGTTGGCAGTATGACTGTAAGTTCATAACCTATAAGACCAGGAATTTGATAAATTCCTTTTTTTTTTCCATTATCATAAAGAAAGAAAACCAGTAAGTAGTATATTTATAATTATTTGTGATACATTCAGAAACACATTCCTGATGACAGAAATTATGATTTTTGACTAGGTGTCAATGAAAACATATTCCTCCACATACACTTTATATATCAGATGCTTGATAGACTATTCCACAGGCCAGCTCCCAACTTTATACATTGCAACTATATTTCTCTCCCTACCACATCTTGCTGGTGGAAGGTGCTGTTGAACATGTTTGTATCTATCTGCATCATGACATCACAGAGCAGGATGAGTTGGGCCTGTGGCTGGGAAGAGGATTTCTGGAGATCATTCCTGGGTATATGTGCAACTGGAGCAGGTAGCAACAACTGCCTCTTAAGTATTAAAGAAAAGACTGAACCACATAATTATATCCTAATAAACCCAAACAAAATTTATTCTCAACTCAATTCCCTTATCAGTATCTCCAAAATGTCAAAGGTCACACTGACCTCATCCGACATTATAATTATGGGTTGGGGAATGGTAGTTGAGAATGTAAAGACATAGATGATTGCAAAATTTTACACAAAAGATACATTACTAGGTCCATCCAGAGCTTCGAGGGGACCAGTGGAGGTGGAAGCTCTTGATGTCAAAAGTTTTTTTGCAGTCACTGTAAGTCAGCCTTGAGCTTGTCCCTGTTTTCCTTTCCCCACGCTTCTCAAGCCAAAACTTTTCAGCCTTCTGAAAATGTGCCAGATTAGATATTCATTCAGG